AAAAAATTAATTGTTTAATAACAAGTTACAATATTATTAGACATTATCGCTATATTATTTTCATTTTGAAACCCATCCCCTTGCTGTTCATTAGAACATTAGTTGGGGCATCAAAGTCATTACCAATTGGCCAACCACGGTTGCGACCTAGTGGTAAGGGCTCAATGGTGTTGTACTTAGGTCTTGACTTCGAACCCAACTATTAACCTTCATCACCATCCCTAAATATGGTTGTAATTTAACTGCCTTATTCAAGTTTTTTTTTCAAAAAAAGTCATCGCCAATTGATCTTGGTATCCACTTGATTGATTGAACATGTCCGGTTCTGGTTGTTCTTTCAGCATTACTAATATCATGATCATTAGCAGAAACTTCTGACTTTCTTTCCTCTTCTACCTCTTGGTTTTCTTTTTATATCTTTTAATTCCTATAGTAAATTCTCCCATACTTTTATATAAGTCCGAGACCCTTGCAATTAGGGTTGTACGTGAGACAAATAACTCCTAAGGTGCTCCATTGGAGCTCTTAATATTATTTAAATCCAGTTTAAGCTCGTTTTTTACTTTGATAAAAATTTGTATAGTTCAGTAATTTTAAAATTTATAATTATGAATCAGACTCAAAGTATAAGCTAAGTTAAACTCGAATGCTCTTATATTTAATTCATTTATAGCCCAACAAACAAACCCCACCTACCATCCATATGACACCACCAAGTCTGTGCTAACATATTGTTCTTGTTATGGTAGTGGAAAAATGACCAATGTTCGAAGAATGAACACGAAAGATGCTGTTACAACCATTAAAAACAAGTCCCGTAATCAAAGATACAGATGATGAAGAAATCCAACTAGAAAATATGCATACAAATACAATGTAATGAAAATGAATGCCTACCAGCATAGCTATTGCTTCCTCTTCAACAATAGAAAAGATCAACTCAAAACAATCGAACATCGTCCGTTTTTCCGACAATATCCTCTATGGAACGTCCAGCGGAAAGCAATTACGACCCACCATCCTTAATGGCCTTTTTAGCAATGTCTGACATTTCCTTCACTTTCACCAATATCAATCATCGGGGCAGAAGAAATCAAGAACTAACCCAACGATCCGGTATGAATCCGAGATAGAACAAGATGATGAGACAATATCAAGGACAATTTTTTTGACATGGGGTTGATGTGCTTCAATGAAGGAAAAATAAAAGGCTTCTGGGGACTTGAGGGGGAGGTCAAATGGAGGACAGCTTAGGGGAGGGAGGTCCCGAAGCCGGACGCGAGGTTCAGAGGCAATGAGGGGTTTGGCGAATGCACCAAAGGAAGAACCTTAGGGTGCCTTCATGGAGAGAATGGGTGATGGAAAACCAATCATTGTGATGAAGTAGGCGCTTTGCAGGTTCGACAGTGGAGACTAGATGGCCGGTTTCCGGCATCGGAATGAAGATCAGCTCTGCTTTGTCCTTCTCTTTGCTTGTCTGTTTTTCTTCTCAGGATTGTTGAGTTACGCACCAATTGAATATATATTAAATCATTTTATCCACCGAGTCCTAGACCAATGTAATTTGATTCTTCCTAAAATAAAATTACATTTATTACCAAAAATAATTATATTTTTGTGATTTATTGTTTGTTAGTGGGAAAATCTTAAATCAATGATATTATTAATAAAGAAATATGTGAGTTAAATTTAAGTAATGCTATTTTATTTATTATTAATTAGTTTTAAATTGAATACAAACTTTGTATCAAAACTTACATATTCAAAATACAAGTTTTTTATTGAAGTTCACATATCCAATTTTCATATTATTAAACCACAATTTCTATAATAACACCTATGGGTGGGCATTTGCTTTGAATTGTTTGAACCAAACTGAATTTTTAGTCATTCAAAATAATTTTGAATAAGAATTTTATACTCAATCCAAACCAAAATTTTAAATCAATTATGATTTTAGTTATCTAAAATTATTCAAATAATTTAGTTAATTAACTAAAATAACTAAAATATACCATTATTTTTTATTTTTTGTCATTAAAAGGTTTTTCTTTTTAATTTTGATTAATTTTAGACTTTTTCTTCATATTCCTATATATAAATTTGACAACAAAAGGAATTTTATCCAAAAAATTTCATATAGCACAAAAACTAAAATTAAAAATTAAAAAATTAAAAAATTTAGATAACTCATATTAGTAATTTCGAATATGAGTCGACAATCATATTCGAACTAAAATTAATTTTAATCATTTTGATTTTATCTGAATATTTGAACCAAAATTCAAAATTCAAATAAACAATTTAGATAGTTTAGTGATATTTGAAATGTGTCCACCGCCATTAAGACCCATGATTTCACGCTTGGAACTATTATGTTGTAATAAACTCAAGAAGTGAAAAAATAAAACCAAGAAAACTTTAATATGGTTTAATTGCATATTTGGAAGGCTTGGGAGATGAATCTAAGACTCCATGGTTGATGAAGATGCTATACTCCAGAAGGTTTGAATTTACATATGGGTAGTTGTAAGGAAAGAGATTAGTGAAGGTTTATTATTTGGGGAATTTATGGAGAAAAAAAACAAATACTGTAAATTTACGAGAAAATGTATTCATATAAGCATGTGTAATTGCACCAAACCATAAGCCTTTTTTCAGTTCAAGTCTTCACTTCGGATGAACCTGTAAAGTCCTGAGGTGGGATTTCGAGGTAAATACTCCGATGCTTAAGTCAGCAATAATCGGAACTATCTTTAGAGTGGAGATAAAAGAAGCTTAGGGTTGGTTTCAATTATATTTTTTATGTGACCCATGAGGGATATTTATAGGCTCCAGTGAGGAACCCACGTGGCATGCTAAGCAAGATAATTGGGGTTTGACGTGTCTATTTAAACAGTTATTTCGGGACCAAGAAATTGACAGATATTCAGATGCAAGGATGTCCATCGTAACTACCATACAGCTTGTCATAAGGAATCAGGTGTGGGCATGTTTATTGTCGCTGTCATGCCGCTGTTTGAGCGAGAACTTTTGGATTTATCTTTCACTCCAATTATAAAGGAATTACTGCCGTACGTCCGAGGTTGGGCACCTCGACCCTGTCCTTACGGCATGCTAATTCATTGAAGATTTGTCAATCCATGCAGCAATGAAACGTTGATGATAAAAAGCATGCTGTCCGTGTCTTTGATCAAACTAAAATGAATTAAAAAGCTACTTCGTGATAATTTAACCTTTATTATTGTTTTTTTTTCATTGCTTTTGGATTGTGTAAGATATCTTTAATTTCTGCTAGCATTTTTGAAGCTAAAAACAACTTTTAAAAATAGTGAGAAGCACTTTATGAAAAATTTTGTTTGAATCGATTTCAAATATTTGTAACAGATATCATGTTAGAAATTGGGTGAAACGCATTAATTAATAAATTTGGTATATTTGGATTTGGCATCAAATTGGATATTTAAAAGGGTATTAATATTAGGATAATTTTTTATACAATAATTTTTATATAATTTTCACATATTATTAAATAAATAAATTCATATAATATTATGAAAATTTTTAAATAATTAATTATATAATAATAAATCAAACTCACCTAAGAAAAAAAAAATGCACGTTTTAATAATTAGTGTCATTATACCTGTACTGCCAAGCGCATTCCCATCTTTTCTTAAGTTGAACAATTCTCTTAAAGTACATCTACTAGATTTAATGTGCTCTCTTGAAAATTGTGTTTTTATTTATTTAGATTGGCCCATAAATACTAGTGTTTATTCGGTTATTAGGAAAATCTTGTGTTATTTAATTCATATGATGTGTTTAAGGAAATGATATTCTTTTTTCAGTTAAATATTATAAGAGTGATTCTGTTGAATTATCTAAATTTTGTAAGGTAAAAATACTCATTAAAAATTAGTCAAATAATTGATATTTTAGTTTAAGGATTTAAAATTTTAATTTTAAATTAGTTTAGGAGACATTTAGAAGAAGATAATTAATTTTTTTTTTGTATAATTTATTATCTTTTTTTGTATAACTGGAGAGAAAGGAAACTAACTACATCCTGAGAAATAAAATTCCCATAGCGTCCCCAAATAATGAGGAAGCCATGCCTGAAGGTAGTGACGGCAAGAAAGTTGTTCCGCGTGGTGAAGAGTGGCCCAAGGAGGCTGTATAATTTATTATTATATGTATAAAAAA